AAAATGTAATTAAATACTTCATCTCATTTTCCGGTGAATAGTAGTAGAAAAATCAATGAAATAGCAAATGACAAAAAATTACTAGAATACAATACACATTTTTTTTTTTAAATTAAAGCCTACATTTGGTTAGAGAGAGAGAAAAATGAGGTGAAATATTCAAAAGAATCTACTAATGCAAATTAATAAATCTCTGCTTGGCAGACAGTTAATGAGTCCTTGATGATGAAGACTGTGTTGCATTTGACACACAAATAGACAATATAAGCTCTTTGTTACTTCTGAATGTTACCAAATATCCTCCATAAGGTTATAGCATTTGATCTTCTAATGCAGGATGATTGTGCTGAGATTCTAGAGCCAAATCTCAAAATAACTCAAATTACAGTTAATTGTAAATGAACCTGTTAATCTTTTTATCTGGCATACATTTTGTCACAAATTATTTAAAAATGTGAAACCTTCAACTTTCCGTAATGAAAAACTCACTGAATTTTTTAACTAGCCTAAGAAATAAGACTATAATTAAAATAATTTATTGACTTATACCAACTCATCTTGATTCTAAGACAAAGTTGAAATCCAGTATGTCTGCTTTAGCCCATAAAGTGATATTTAAGCAGACTTTAGAAACCTAATTCCAGAAGGCAATTCAGGGGCTTATTCTCTAGTGACTATGCAATACTTAAATGTGTATTACTCATTAGGCAAAAATCGTGCTCTAAGATTTTCATGGTTGCCAGCATACTACCAAAGTGCTCTGTCTCCACTACCTCTTGTGCGCTAAAACCACAAGGGATTCCCTCTGAAGGATCTGCTTTAGCATACTTACCAGACATAGACGGCACAAAGCACAGGAGCCGAAGTCCTTCCTTGAACTCAGCATCCACCTTTTGTAGTAACAGTGTCCTCTCAGAATGTGGGAATTCGGTCTCTTCTTTAACCTGACAGAAGTCAGATCCACATCTTCTGATTCACCAGTACGCTCTAACCACTAGATAATGGTGAAAGTCCTTCCATGCATGTCCTGATGGAACCAAGTCAAAAATCCCTAGTCACCAACCAAAATCCCTAGTGCGGGAAAGAGAACACTTTCTTCTGCATTCTGATAGTCTGGGCTGTGAGGTGGGAGGAACAATCCTGGGATCTCTTCCCTGGGCTCCTCAATTACAAATGTATTTTGTTCATCTTGCCATATTTTATAGTGGAAAATATGGATCTTTAATTGCTTCAATCCATTGCAGTTTCCAAAGAATAGCCTTGGTAACTCCACATGCTCTTCTCTTGTGCATCACTCTTTGACACTTCAGCTTTTCTTGTTTGTTCAGTAAGGACTCTGGATATCAAACACAGGGAGAGTGTTTCCACCAGGTGGCAGGGCTCTTAAATGCTAGGCATTCAAATGCTATATGTTTTTGTGGGTCTAGCCCAAACACTACGTAACCCATGTCTGATTGACCATCGACTTTGGGTAGGAAAATCCTGGTCTACAGTTGGTACCATCTCTACCCCTTAAAGGTCGAAGTTGTTTGTTCAGTGTTCATTGAAAAGATCAGTAGTCTTAAAGTAATTACTTCCTACACACCTCATTCACCCACCACAAAATACCTGTTCAGGATATAGAATAATAATGAAGAAACGTAGTTTGCTCTTTTACATTGTGCTTCATGTAAAATTATTCAGCAAATCTTTTCTATAATGAATATGTATAATAAAACTTTAGCTTGTCATAGGTCTAATCATGAATGGAAAAGAAATTACATCATATTATTCAAATAGATATAATTAAATTAATTGATTCATTTGAAGCACTGCCATTTCTTGTGCATTTTCCTCCATTTCATCTCCACTGCATTTCCATTGCATGTCCTTCATCGAGGTTATAATATAAACAGTTTCCAGCTTACTTACCAGATCAATCTCACAATGAATAAGGATTTGAGATATTTTTCCATCCTTGTTTAAAAAATAGAATGAAAGATGTGCACTTATTTGTGGACTGGACCAACATTTGTCCACTATATACTGGAAAAAGCTCTATAGCGAAACTGCTGACCTAACATTATTTTACAGCTTGCATAAGCAGGGTTGGGATAATAAAGCTTCTTCAGTGCCTAGAAGCTATAAATAGGATGCATTTGTCAATTGCCTTGCCCAGGCAAAATGTACTCACTTTTCACCCTGCACCTGTGTGCCTTTGTGTTTCTTAGAATAGCAGCGGTGCTTCTGTATTCAAATACTTTGTCCATCTTTCAAAATTGAAAATCCTGCCGTACTTCATTAAGGTCATGCTATCAAACCTTTGCCACCTGAGCACATCCAGTAGCACAGAGTTTCAAAATATCTGTTTTCTTACGCGTATACTTATCTACCAGTGTTCAGGCATGTGTTTTATTATTTATCTCTGAAACTCTTTCGTGTGAAGCTCTTGCAATGACAGTCTAACACAGCTTGGTTTTTGCATGTTCCCGAACCTCTCTGAGAAGCATGCCTAATACAGGTTCATGAAATGCCTAAAATTTAGATGTAAATAAGGTGTCTAAATTGGGCAGACTGGATTCCAGTTTACCTGTTTCCTAAACTGGGTTATGCCCAAAATTTAAACCCACAAAAAATCTATAGAAATCTGCCACAGTAAGCCACAGTGTCTCCCAAACTACACACCTGTTCTACAGGATAAAACTACCTGACCTGTCTTTCTTGATTTTGTTTCTAATTCCAAACTTCTAATTTGTCTTCTAATCTTTCCTACCCACACTGAAAAAAAAAAAAAGTAATATGTTTTGGCACACAAGAAGTCTCCGATATCCCTCTAACAATATCTTTAATGAAGTCTTTCAAACACTTGCCATTTTTCTTCTTTTTTCTTAAAAATGCAGAATTTACAACTGTACTTGACATTATAATACCTTTTATTAAGACATTGTATAGGTTTATGCATTTCTCTTTGAAGTACCAACCAACCAGAACTTAAGCAGATTCCCCATCGCTCTGCAGGCATCTCCATGTAAGGGCCCGTTCCTTCTCCGACAGCACGTGTGAAGGGTCCGACTCGCACAGGACACATTTGAGGCAGCAGTGTAAAGCCTGTGTAAGCCTCCGTGCCCAGGTACCTGCTGTTCCGTGAAGGAACAGCACTGAAAAAGCTGTCTCATCCATGAAGGAACAGCAGGAGCCACACGGCAATAGCAAAGTCTTCTGCCCCGGGAACCTCACTGCCCATCAGTGACAAAACCGCCCTTCATGTTCACTCCTCCCTCCTTGCAGCTGGAACCAACCACCTGCATAGTGTCTCATGAGCATTTAAGGGTGCTGCACATCAATTCCTTTATCATGGTCACTAACGTGCAGCCATCTCTCATTGTGACAAGGAGCATAAATGCAACCTTGACAAGAATAGCCATACTTCTCACGTGAGCTCGTCGTGTGAGGTGAAGTATGGGCATTTTAGTCACGTCATAGGTGCCTCTTACAGGTGCCCCTGTGAGATGCTTAAGAAGGAAGATAGCAGGGTAAGGGCCGTGGGCTGTTATCTGTTTTGGTGGGTTTGATCTGTATTTCCTAAGTAGGCCCCCAAGCGAATAGCACTGAGTACCTGCTCCAGGTGCTGCTGTACTGCATAGGTGCCAAGTAGGTCTTAAAGGATGCTGAGATGGACTTCATAGCTTCGTGAACTTGTGCTGTCATGATACCTTCAAATTGACTTGAACAAAATAAATCATTAGTGGAACAGGAAAGTTAAATGTGTGGGAACAATTTCTTCTAGGTGGATTATGAATCTAGCACAGAACTGTTTGACTACTTCAGGATGAATTTACAAATAGTTTCAGACCAACTGAAACTACATTTTAAGTTGTTAACGTGTTCTCTGGAGGAAGACAAGGGCCAGCCTCTGCTTCTAAGAATAACACCGATCTCTGACAAGTAGCATTACTAATTCTAAACAGCAAAACAGGTTATAGTTTCTTGGTTAGGGCTATTTGGGTATTTACAATTACGGGCAAAACCTTACCACTCCTGCAGCTGCTATTCGCTCTGTGTAAAGCAATATTTTGGGAGTATAACAGTATTACATGACAACACTTTTAAGACCAAGTTGTTAGACTGCTCATCACGGTGGGCAGTGTGGTTTGTGTGTTTCAGAGGATTGTGTTCATGTACCCTTTGCTGACATAGGGGAGTTTTTTCCATTTGTTTCATTTTTGGCACCTGCTTCGTACGACTTCAATTCCATGTCTTTCAGACATGAGATTGAAATAAAGCAATTCTACGTCATAATTTTCGTTATTTTCAATGTAAAGAATGATAAATGGGGAGTGGGGGCAGCAACTTAAACACAAAATTTTAAATCCTTTTGTTGGACAAGGTTGTTTCAAGTTATGAACAGGGTTGTTTAATCTGGTTTCTTTCAGCTATAGTACAAATAAGAGCAGCTTTCCCTCAGCAAGTGTAGAACTTGAGTGCTTACCCATACGCATCTATTTATTTTTTTAGTTGTATATATTAGAATGTGAGCACTCAAAGCCACTCACCATCTAATATGGCTAAGCCAGGACACACTGTAGCAGTCTCAGGATTTCTGTTCATCATCCTACTAGAATGTATGGATAAGCTTATAATGCTCCACTGTGACCTTTGCAAATAAAGGATGGAGAGCAGAAGGTGGTTCCCTCCTTGCACGGGGCTTGGCAGTATAAAACACCTCTCATGAGTTCAAGGGAAGGTTATTTTGCTGAAAGTCATTATTGTTTATAAATCATTATACATGTCACTGAGCTCTTTACAAAGGGAATAGATAGGAAAATGGGACCTGAATCTGCCCTGCCCGCAGGTTTACAACCATGACAAAAGACACAGAGGATCCTGTATGAAGTATTCAACATGGACATTGCAGTTTTACACTGCCAGAAGAATTAACTTTATCCACATCATCATCATCATCATTATTATTATTATTATTATTGTTATTGTTATTGTTATTATTTCCTTCTCACTAACAGGTTATCCATCAGCTTAGACTTTCAGAGAATGAGAGTGTGGCTCTGCAAGAGCTTCTAGACTGGAGGAGAAAGCTGTGTGAAGAGAGAGAAGACTGGCAGCAAATCTTGCACAACACTGAGCAAAGAATCACAGCCCCACCTCCACCCCCTTGTAAAAAGCCAACACTGCTGAAGAAGGTAGAAGATACCTCCTGCAACAGACTCTCTTCAGGCTTATGGGATACCACCATGTGATTCAGATGTGTGTGTTTGCAGACTGTTAGGAATGCAACCATCTAATGACTTCAATCTGCACAATCAGCAAGCTTTCTTCCCTTCACAAAGCGTGCAGGGATTTTTTATAAGCACTCATTCAAGAACACGAGAGAGAGGAGCTATTTAGATCTGCTGTGTGTGCGTGTACATGTGTGTGCTTGTTCTTTTCATATATATACACATATACATACATGTGTGCATCTGTGAGTATATATGTGTGTGTGTGTATATGGAGACAAACTGCACTACAAGTACTTAGATAAAAGTACAAGACGGTCACTTGGAGTTCTCCCATGGACAATGAAGAAACTACGTTAAGCAAGTGATGATGGGGAGAAGTGACTGACAGGCATTTTCAAGAGGTCAGGAAAGTCTGTGTGCACACTGTACAGCTGTTTTATATAGTACAAAAATATGATGTTTCTTGTTCCCTAATGAATGGTTTTATTATATTACATGTATACATATATATATATTTCTTTGTAGATGTCTGTGTTCTATTGGCGTTGCAAACCTGAAGATTATTTACGTGTTTTATAACTTTATGCAATTGGTGCTGTCGTTCTTTCTTCAAAATACAGGTAATAAATTCAGTACTTGCATTTTTCTTTCAAAGTTTATCTTTAAAAACATACCAAACAGTTTCAAAACTGTGTTGTTTTTTCACAACTGGCAATATCCTTTCTAAAATCCAATCCTGAAATTCCTGCAAAGCTTCTATATGCAAGTGTGGTTTGATGTTGTTCACAGTCACGAATTAGAGAGCATGACTTCTTTTCAGTGGATGTGTGTTTCCGAATGTGTGAACTGTGAATTCTGCAGTTACATCTCAAATCTTATTTCATTCTGGGTTATGTAAAATAATGAGGCACTCATTTAGATTGTAAGTATGGTTTGAAATTCATACCTGATTATGCGTAAGGTCAGGTGTCAGTGGAAAGATACATAATGGTAATGAGGTATGAAAATAAGGCTGTGATTTACTGTTACAAGCCAGAAGGCTTTATGGAGATGGGTATATCAAAAGATTATGTCCTTATGGTGGTACAGTGATGCATTTATACCTCAAATTTCATGTAATGAAATGGTTTCAGAAATTGGAGCATTCTAGTTGGTGAACATGAGTTCTAGGCAGTAATGTTAATTTACGAAAAACATGCTGCTGGAAACCTGTTAGCCACTGCTTAGCAGTCTTTGAAATACTGCTTTGCCACTAAAAGGTGTAATTTATATAGATACACAGGTATGTTGTCAGGGGCAAAGTTTTTAAGTTCCTGGAGTATGTAGAGCTAGTGTGAAACACTTTTCTTGGCTGTTTGCCCCATTCCTATTGGGATCCAGGAAAAGGTGCTTGTAATTTTGCAAGTGGATGTAAAACTACCGCTTTCAAATGTAAGCTAGGTTTAAAAACGTGTGCTTACCCTTGGTCGGCAGTTGGTGAGAAAAGAAAAAAACTTACTTGGAGAAGTAGATTTTTCCATCATGTTCGACAGAAGCTTCAAGCAGGCTGAGTGGCAAAAAGCAATCACACGCTTGCTTGTTTTTACAGGAAAGCAGCAAAACTCAAATTGTTCCCATGAGTATCACCAAGCTCTAGGCAAAATTCAGCACCTTCTCTTGCTGGAGATTAAAACAAACATTTTCAGTGGGCAAGGAAGGGGAGACACCAGGTTAGCTCAGAATTTTACCTTGTTACCACTGTTAGCTTCACAGAAGTCTTCCCTGTAAGATTACCAATTTCTGTTTCATGGAGAAGCGGGGACTCTAGACTCTGAATCTTACCTTCAGCTGATGTAAATGGCCATAGATCATGACTTTATACAGAAAGGGCAGGTAACCATTGTAAGGTTGTTCAGAAAACAACTCGCCCACCAAACACCTATGTTAGGATGAGGCTTTGCCTGGAAGAATTGAGGTTTCTGTCTTTTCACTCAGGTAACCAGAGGACACAGAGAGATCCGTGTGCGAGAGCAAAACGAAACGGCTCCAGAACTGGATACAAGAGAGGTGATTAACCTGACCTTCCAACTACGTTGCCTCCAGGATGCAAGCTGTTATCCCTCCACGGCACAGCATCACTATACGTAGCCGTAACAACACCTACCCCGCTAGCTCAGCCACCCTCAACACCTCACGGCACTGAGACATGCAGACGCACCCTCAGGCTTAGCGCTCCTCAAATGGCCCTGGCAACTGGCCTTCGCATAAGCTCTGCCGTATTGCTGGCTCTAACGTTCGCTCGCTGGCTTGGGAACTGGTAGCCATCAATCCACAGCAGCCTGCAGGTTTAGGGCAAGCTGTAAAAACCGACTGAAAAGACGGTTTGGATCATGCCAAGATCCCTGCTGCGGCAGTGAGCTTGCTACCAGCCTCCGAGCTAGATATTCGTGCGATGAGCTTGTGTATCTCCTGACAACGCTGTTGTCATTGCTGCCCTGGTGACGCAGGAGTACCCAGAGGGCAGAGAATACAACTGTCAAGTAGAGTTTGAAATGGGAAATAGTATAAATGCACTTTATAATATTTCCAAACCTTACTAAAAGTTGTCTTAGAGCGGTGATCAGCCTCAGCTGCAGGAGATCAAATGGGATCTAAGGAACGTTTTTCCTGCTCTGTCAAAGTCTGTATTGTGCCCTATTACGGCAGTGGGAACCAGGTGTGGAAAAAAGGTGTGTAGATATTCCAGCAGTTTCATCGACACAGTTACACAGGAGAAGCCAGTACAAACTTGACTCAGGCAACCTGATTCTCCAGACAAAGGGCAAAGCAGATTATTCTCCCCTGTGCAGAAGGCCTTTGTTCTGTTTTTTTGCAAACTTGGGTAAGACAGATTTTTCTGGGATTCTTCCTTAAAGCACGTAACCACAGTGCAATACGACAAACTAAATAGCAAAAGATGAGAGACCTTTTTTTTTTAATTTTGTTATTCATTCCAGGTTATGTAATGGCTAATTTTTTACTTGGGAAGATTTTTTAGGATATTCCATTAAAATATAGCACTATAGGAATAAAATATTTGTGTTAAAACATGTTTTAAATATTTCTCTAATGGCAGTAACATACTCCAGAGTGTGACTTATGATGTCATAATTCACACCTAGTGTGTTCATTGGTCCCTTGGCCTTTGGCCTCATGCCTAACAATGCAGTTGGTAGGGAATTATTATACCATAATTCACACCCTACTGTGTCTTATTGCTTAAATAACCATACCCCCAGAGGTGTCTTAAAACTACCATTAAAGTTTATATTGTGTATCAAAATGTGTTTACAGGGCTGGGAAAATATACTATTGACATTTTGAAATGTTGAGAAGTAGTTTTTGCAGAACTGTACAGTGCTCGTAAATTAATCTCCCCAGTGGAGTATGCATAAGCCAATTACAGTATTTCTTGAGTATATGGAGTCCTCTCTTGCACATTAAAAAATAGCTTAGACAAAAAGAGCCTTATGAATTCAATAATCTAAAGGGAAAGATTAAACTCTATGAGCATGCTAATGCCCTTAATATCCAATGAACAATCTAAAATATATTTATATTTGCAATAAAGCAATTTCATGAAGCTGGGGTTATCATCAGATAATCACTCCTCTACATTGTGCCTTATTGCTTAATTCTTAATATGTGAAACCAACAAAACTTCTAACAAATGAGCCTGTCCTTCAGTATAAGGCAAGAAGAATCAGAAGTGTTTTACACATGGTCTTAAAGCCAAGGGAATTCTAAAACCATATTAAACCACAATAAAAGAAAAACAACAGCTGTTGGCATGAGAAATCTTTAAAGCTTGTAAACCTTACTTCTTACTCCTGAAATAGCACTTGGTGGTTTTTAGGTGCTGTAGTTACATTCCTATTGCAGATTATAAGGAAAACTTTGCTTTTATAAACTGATTTAGATGTTCAGAGAAATACATGCACCAATATTTTACAAAATATCTGTGTACAGCATGAAGTGATAAGCCTTTTAAAAATTTGTATTGTTTACAAAATAATAGTATGATTGTTGAATAAGTGAATTACATTTCCCTTTTTGCCAGTGATCCTTTCTATTCATTCTAAAAGGTTGACTTATTAATGAAAATAACTTTATTATATTGCAGATCTTTTGTGTGTGGGACAAAGAATTTCATTGACTTGCTAAGAAAGCATAATAGATTGTAGCATCGTTCTAAAGTGATAGTAATAGCCATATTCATTGTAGTTTTTAATTCTGCTTTATAGTATTGAAATCCCTAGTAATCCCGTTATTCTTATCTCTATGAAGCCTGCTAATATCTGAAATGCTCTGAGGAACCTAAAATAAGTTTTGCCATTCGCTTGTTAAATAATAAATGTGATTAAACTCTGTACAAGGCAGTTTTCCAGAATGGTGTTAAACATTTTATGGCTTTTTGTTCTAAATACATAGTTTTTAAAAAGAAAACACAACCTGAGAATAACTGTTGGACAGTATCTGAACAAAGCAGAAGGGCGTATAAGGAAATGCTTTTCTTCTGGTTTTGCTGTTGTCTGTATACTCAGGATTTTCATTTTGAGAAGAAATAAATAAATCCCAGTGCTGGCTTATATTGTGGCTGTGACAATTAGATCATTAGCAAAGACTGTCTGTCCTTCTACCTGTGGTTTGGCCATTTCCCTGACCACATGAATATATGCTGGATCTGGCTGAATCATGGATTTGGCTGTGACGTGTTTTAGACAAGAAATTTTGTCAAGTCATGATTTGACTTTTTGAAGATTAATTACAGTAAACAGAAAAAAAACTTGAATTAGCTAGAGTTATTTAATTCAACCTTAAGTAGCTTGTTTTTATCCTTATATATGTGAATAAAATCCCCTCTTAGCCCTTTCTTATTTCCTTTTCCTCCTAGCCCTTTCTCATTTTCTTTCCTGTCAACTCAGGTTACTTTTCAAACAGACTTTTATAATAAACAAAAAAGTGGTTAAATCAAATTACAGCATAACATTTAGGTTTAATTTTTTAAATGAAACATTTTACTTAAAAAATACCAAAATAGATTATTTCATTATTTTCAATATGTTTTTTCACCTTTTCTTTTCCAGCTGAAATTGTTTGTTGGATGCAACCTGAATTTACACATAATTTCAACTCTTCACAGGCATATTTTTTTATAAGTCCACTCTTCTCTGAAAAGACCACACTAATGAATATTTGTTTTGAGATGCAGGAGAACTGCTGAGGTCCTCAGAAGCATCAACAGGGAAAATTTGACAAGCACAGGTACATTGCCATCATTGCAATGTTCATGTGACAGTTATTAGTTAATGCTTGTGCCCTTACTGTTTTCATCTGAGCTTTACCCCTTTCTTAGTCTACATGGATATGTAGTAACCTGTCTCCAGATATTCATTAGACAACAGAAAGGAAAGTGCTGAATCTGTCATACACTGCCAAAGAAAGGGGAGAAA